CTCCTCCTCCTCCTCCTCCTCCTTCTCCTCCTTCTCCTCCTTCTCCTCCTTCTCCTTCTCCTTCTCCTTCTTCTTCCTTCTGTGGTTTTTGCGAAATTTTTCAATGCTTCTGCCGTTGTACGCATCGCACTTCAGTGAATTCTCTATCCTGAGACACAGTAGCCAAACCTGTGACTCCAATTACTGGTGGCTCAGCAATGAGTTGAAAGAAACTTCCAGGGTGTATGTTGCCCATTGGATCTCTCAGCAGAGTGCTCACCAGTGTGTCCATATGGCATTCGTCTCTAGATCAACAGATTCCCAAGTGAATTCACCATTTTTTCCACAGTTTCCCTTTAACTCTCTTCAAAGCACCATCTTCCCAGAAGAATGACCTAGAAACAAGATAGTCAAAACTCTACTCATTCTCTCTTTTCCAACCACCAACCTAATACCAAGGCCTTTCAAGGTCAGTGAAGACTCAGGACATAGGAGACGCTGTACTGTAACATCATGTAACTCAGTTGTGTCCCAAATTTTCTGATCAAGGAGATTTATAGGGCCAAGAGGAAAGTGATTGATGATGTAAAGTGTGTGTAAGGAGACTCACATGGAGAGAAAACATTCTCTCAGGCCTTCACAGAGAGCAAATTGGTCAAGCAATGGCCGTGACTCATCCAGATGGCTGACACTGACAAAGGATCTACGAACTGCAGTACAGGGTTTCAGGATAAATCCTGAGGGGATTTGACTGACCTTATCAGATACAAAAGCTACATTTCTTATTATATATGTCTGACATTTTCTTGGACTTAACCATCCAGCAGAAAAGTATAAAAACAAAGTATAAAAAGTAAAGACATACTAATATGCTGAGCTGTAAAAGGCTCAAGTCAGCAACTTCTGACATCACCAGTCTTAAGAAAAGCCCACTACTTTTTTCTGCCGAGTTCCGGGAGCCCCCAGACCCAGTCCTAGCCCAGGTCCGGTGAGTGTGCGGAGAGCTTTCTGCTACCCTGCGCCGGCGGGACCGGTCCCAGCCCAGGTGCAGAGTGAGCCGGACCCTCTCCCAGCCCCTCGGGCCGCCCCCC